CATTGGCCGGGACCATGCCGCGACCAGCCCGGGATTCGAGCCCAGGACCATTTTGGACCGTGCTTATTTTCCCGCGCGGGTCGAGAGGGTGCCCCAAGATGTAAATCAATTGGGATGGCAGAATCTTGGACAATCCAGGTCACCATCCGGTCGCTTTTAGGGCAGGATTTCGTCACTGCAACAAGGGTCCGGAGGGGTAGGGGAGGTAAGGTCTAGGTCTAAGGCTAAGGACTAGGTCTGAGGCTAAGGATAAGGCCTAAGGCTAAGGCTAAGGCTAAGGCTAAGGCTAAGGAGAGAGAAAGAGAGGCGAGAAATAGAGCGAGAAGGGGAGAAAGAGCACGCAAAAATAGAGAGACGGGGGAGAGAAATCGTTCATGTACGGTGAGATAGAGGGATAAGGCGGATATTATGGGGAGAAAGGGATTAATAAATTTGACAACCCGCACTTCCGCTCAGGACCCAGAATCGCGGCGAAAGGCGCTGCAAGCCTTGGCGGCTGAGGACACCTACGTGCGTGCATTGATCATTGGACAACTCGATGCCGAGTTCCTGACCAGAGAATGGCAGATAGCTTTGACAGCACACTGCACAGTGTTTTCTCTTTGACATAAATATAGTGTTAGTTATACATTGATATAGCATGATATAGCAAGCCCTCAGCCATCTGAGGTTTGACCATGCTGCATGAAGAGCAGGACGAAATCGTCTCGTCTCCAAACCAAAAACGACGTCGTTTAGTTGTTTCTACGTTTGGTTGCTTTTATTGGTTATGTTATATTAATGTATAAGTACGTTTGTTTTTTAGACATGAGTTTTTGTGTTACTGACTACTGACCTCTCGTGTTGGCGGATCGAACGCACGCCTCACATCTCGGCATCGCCCACCGGCGCGCCAGGAGCACCTGCCCGGACGGAGCCGTGAGCCGTGCACCGGTGGATGTTCAGCGAGTCACTGCGGTGCGAAATCGTCCGCAGAGATAGACTCCAAGTCGTCGTCAGACAAGGGCCCCCACCATGTCACAGGGCCAAGGTAATTAGTTGGATCCACGTCACCCGTGAAGTTCCATATAACCGGTGAAGTTCACAGATGCATGGCTATGAAGATCTGAAGAATGTCACAGAATACTTTGCAGCTCCAAGGGGCAGTGCCTCAATGGCACTTGCGTAGCGATGCGTAGCAGCGGGGCGCCTCTGGCAGATGTTCTGCCCTTGTCGGATCTCGCTGGTGTCTCTTGCGTGTTTGAAAGGCCCTTTGGACTGGTGATATTCACGAGCTTGGAACTTTTGCGTGGGTGTGGACTAGCGTCCTCTCAGTAATTCCCGAGAGAGCTCCATTATAGTCATTTTCTAGCATCCCAGATGGGATACAGAATTCGAGTTTCCTTGATTGCAGAGCACCAACACTTTCAGGTCCTGTCGGTGCTCGGACCACGCGGAACTTTGAAGACACAAAGAAGCACATGTCGCGTGGTCTAGACCGAGACGCACGCCGTGTCTCTCACTGAAACATCACACCTTTTGCAACTAGCCATCCTATTCTTGTTTCTCTCTACTACGGGCTCCTGGCCGTCCTACTAGGAGCAATCGGACGCTACGTTCGGGGCTTGTGGCAATCGGAATAGGATCTATGTAGCCAATTCAAGCAGCCACTCGTCCGATGAATTCACCCAGTCGAAGCTCCGTTGGTCTCCGATGCTCGGAGGGTTCCGAAGGGTTCCGAGGGTTCTCGTAGCGAGGTCCCAATGAGGTGAGGCCAGGCGGTGAAGGGCTGGAAGGGCTGGAAGAGCGTGTTTGTGTTGTCCAATAGCAGCTCAGTAGCATGCATTATAGCAGCACCCCTGTTGAACTGATTGTATTAACATCCCCTCCCAAGTGGCAATGTGCAACTGCTCGGCTTCACTTCTTTTCTTCGTTTGATTGGGGGTGTCTGCCCTAATCGTATAAGGATGATATGTTTGGTCCCGGGCACCGTGAACGTCCGACATGATCACATTATACATCATTATACATCACCTGATCTCATCTCCCTGTGCAGGATGGTGAACCGACAGGCGGGACAGAATCGGGGTTCAAGTCCACCGGTTTTTCACGCTGTGAACCCGCAGAATTCAGCTGCAGTAGATCTCGCTGAAACCATCAACACAACTGATTTGATCCACACATTGGCCAAGTCAAGCAGCTGTTCTTGCCTCTTGGCCGGTCTTTTGACCGGTCGTTTTTGGTCCAACCTCTTAGCTGTTTAGACTTTGCTGGTGGCATGCTGGTATACGGAGCAGAAGAAACGTGGAGAAACACGTCCTCTCCTTTCAAACGCAAAGACTAAATAGCACCAAACAGCCAAGGGGTCTATGTGACCCAGGTCTTTGTCATGCCCTTCAGCACATAGATAGATTATGATAGGTATTGTTTGATCGTCTCAATGTCTCAGAAAGGGATTCATTTCTCTGTATTCCTGATGTTTTCCCAAGCTCCTGCTGGCTGACCTGTTTGCTGGTGATGCCACACGTGGCTGGAGGTTGGCCCTGGCATGTTTATGCAGCAGCAAGAAGAAGTCCCCAGCGAGCAGCTCAGGGGACCACCGCGAGACTGGCCTTACGCTTTCAACCCACACATTTGGTGCGTTGAAACAATCGGGTGATCGATGATGATCGATGATGATCGATGTTTTTTTGGATAACCCATCAGTCTTTCATTCTTTCTTTTCCATCTCAAGATCTCTACTTGATCCACGTAGAGATTGACCACCAGAGTCCAATGGATGAAAGAGCTTCGAGGTGCAGCCACCTTGATTTTGACCAAAAGAACCGTGATTGAGCTGGAACAAGGAACATCCCATCAGCAGCTACAATCTTGGCACCCTCCCTCTGCTCATTTCCTGGCTTCCACACATCGCCCAAGAGTCAAAAAGGAGTTATATAAACTCTCTTGGTGTTTGGGACCATCGTCCACATCCACAACCCAAGTTTGGTGATGTTCGAACCCAAGTGTGGCTTTTGAGAAGCCTTCAATAGACAAGCTCTGCAACAACCTGCAAGAGAAAGCATCGCCCAAGTATGCCCAAGTCAGAAGCAGAAAAGCACTAGTCACTAGCCGCAACACGATGTTCATGCTGTTTTCCAGCCCATTTGGCCTGGAAAACGAGCACACGCAGAGCGCACACGCAGAGCGCACACGCCTGCGCCTACGCCGGGCCTACGCCTTCTGCTCTTGGCCTCTGCGAGTTTGGGCGAAAAAACATGAAAAAACACGGACGTTCTTCGAGGCAAAGAGAAGTGCAAGCAAGAGATGGCCGTGATTGATGCTCAGATCGAAAAGGCCCAGAGAGCGTGGGGTGTTGTTCGCACTGAAGGGCACGAGAAACCGGTGGCCATGCGATGGGGGCATTGTTTTGGGGGGGCGAATCAAGCCACTCAAAATGGATTGCCAGCTTTGATTTGCATAGCGGCATAGCCCACAAAGCACATCAAACATAGCTGTAAACACTGCGGTATTCCCGGATTCAATCAGGTTTTGTCAAGAGTCCATCTATTTTGTCAAGTTTCATGCTAAGTGGCTGTAAAACAAGGACACTAAGAAGTGCCTGTGTTTGATCTTTAGAGATGACTGCGAAAATAGCTTAGCTTTTTAGTGGTGTTTCTGAGAATCATGGGATGATTTCTAATATTTTCTAGCGTTTGCAGACCTTCCACACATTCACTCAACATGGATTGCATGCGGATATGGATATGCCATCATGATCTGTATGTGCTCCGCTGAAGGAAGTGGAGGCTCCCAGATCGGTGTCCCATCCCCATTCGCCACGAGCTGGCTTCCGCCACGACGACATCGAGACACTTCTGGCCTGGCCTGGCGTAAATGGGCCATCTGAGAATCTGAGAGGGGGTAGCTGCCCTGAAAACAGATCTCAACCTCATAGGAATCTCATAGGAATTCGACATGAAATTCGAACCCCCTCGCGACAAGGATTTTTCCCAAACATTCTTTCTGCCATATGGATGCCAATGACCATTTCTTCTCCTTTCATTTTCCGAGCTTTCCCTTTTTCAGCGTGCAAGCCTGTCAGCGCAGGGCATGCGCGATGGAGAGAGCCTAACCTTCCCCCGCATGACGGATCAGAGGCAGTCACACGGTGGGGCGGATGGTGGAGAAGGTCCACCCAGCAGAAGGGTCTTGCTCCGTTCGTAGCGTCCTTGTTCCTAGTAGCGATGCCAGGAGCCCCTAGTAGCGTTCTTGTTCCTGCGCAGCTATCAAGACACGTGGCATTTTCGTTCCTTTGTTCCTGTATATTCAGGACCCAGAAAGCTGCGGGTTTGGAGCGAAGTGGTTTTGACAGGGTTAGAGTAGAAATGGTAGTTACTGAGAGTCACTATTGAAGAGTTTTGTACCTCTCAGCTGCATTTGGATGCATTTGCTACCCAGGCCAGGCACAATCCCTGGTGCAATGATCCTGACGCTGAAGGTGGGAAGCCTCATCGGCGTCATCGGTCATTATGGCCGACCAACGTATCTCCATGAGACTCACACATTGCTTGGAGGCGACACCTCACACATCGCAGCGCATGGCGAGCAGGTAAGCATGGATCTATTGCAGGTTGAGGGCGGAACAACCGACTCAAGCTACGACTGAAGTTTCGGAGACGTACTGGAACTCCAAGGACAGACTTCAAATTTCACAGACTTAGAGAACCAATGTCACGAAACCGGTTGCACAGCCGTCCTTGGTGTTCAAAGACTTCGGCGAGATTTGGGTGTCCACTGCTGGATGAAAGCCTTCTCATGTCTTAGCTGTAGACCCGGACAGCACTTAGCCTTCCAACACATTTGGCTAGGCCCGGCTAGAAGCCTGTAGGCAAGAGGCTGTTTAGCCAGTTGCCAGTTCGCGCGTCGGATGGACTTGCTGAGGTGGCCAAGCACGAGAGGTTTGAACGGCGAGGAGATGACCTCCACATGAAGACCAAGGTGGGAAGCTGACTAAAATATATAAAATATGCAGATAACGGTTGACGGTCCATGCTGAGAAGACTGAGTGCGCATGGGAAGGAGCACCTGGAATGGATGAAGCACCTGTTTTGTTCACTATTATTATAGAATGTTGGAAGAAAGGCTTATATGGGTGTGTGTTAAAATAGGGGGACCATGGGGGACAGACACCCGAGAAGGAACATGGACCAACCACCCGTTGGTCAAGCTTCGGCCTTTGGGGCCGGGGCGAGAACTCTCTGCAGGACTCGGAACTCGGCCTAGCCCCGGGTCATGTCGATTTCGTAGTCTGATTCGAGCTGATTCGGAGTCAGACGAACACGGCAGACCGACAGGAGAGACTAAGCTTCAACCAGATCAGACTTATCTTTTGGCATGTTTTGGCTGACTAAGAACAGATAAGAACAACTGTCATCCAAAACTGTTCTTATCATGTGTCCAAAACTGTTCGCAGAACATCAAAAAACTGTTCTGGACACATGAGGGAAATGTTTTTTTCCTGTTTTGCCTAATGTTCCGAACCCAACGGAGGCAGCGACGCACCGCTTCGGTCCCCCCTCCGGGCGGTGACGGCGACACCGCCGGCTTCCGGACACCGCCGCAGGTGACGCTCCGAGAGTCTTTGTTGGGATGGACCAAGACCATCAGGTGCCGACACCGGTTCAGGACACTCTCCGACCGGAACCTCTCTCCGTCGGACAAACAGAGCGATTCTGGAGAAACAGAGCGATCGCGTTCTGCAGAGAGTCGGTTTGGCATTTTGGACCTGGAACAAAAACCCGTGCCAACGTAGTTCTTCAGAAACGCCAGTGTTACACCTGGTCGCGATCTTTCGCGTGTCGGATGCAAACCAGTGTGACCTTGGACTGCCAGACACATGGACGGCCATACCATTGAGATCGGCACTGACAGCGTGACCAAGCCGTTTCAAGTCATCAAGGCGGGGTCGTTGATAAGCCACAGCCACGGATGTTGAGATTCGCGAGGCCGTACCACCATGTACCACCATCATGTTCTCAATGTAGCGAGACCTAGGGCCCTGAAGCAGCAGGGGTGAACATCTATTGACTGGCGAAGAATCATTCATGATTCTTCAGTGTCCAGCAGTTTACAGAGCCAAAACGTGGGCACCATTTGGTACCCACCTGTCTTCGATCAGGTCAAGGGCGAGGGCATGCCACTACGGGATGCAGCGCACTTATTCGCAGCTTTTTCAGTTCAGCTGACCAGACGTGGGACTGACCAGTCCAATTTGACACGGTCCTAAAGGTCAGGGCAGAAAGGATCAAACTCCACAGTATCAAGTCATTGTCATTGTTGCTTGAAGAGCCATCAGTATCTCTCACAGAGCCATCGAGTTGCCTCAGCCGGGTGATGGGTGTGCGGCCAGGATCCAGCGAGCTTTGGTGACTTGTACGTGTACGCCGAAGCGGCGGCCTTAGTTTATTTATTGGTCTTACTTTCCTTGTCAAAGACCCAAGATGCATATGGGTTTTGAATGCATTAAGGGAAAAGGGACCTGTATTTTGTCATGGCTTTCACACATCAAGATGGCATGTGTCCTAGCGATTGTGGAGTTTCTGCCAATACCGGACCAAACTCCACCTTGAAGATATTGAAGACATAAAACGGTGCATGGACAGGCTCGTGTGGTTTGGTAGGCTCGTTTCGGAAGGAGCGATGGACATCGCAGGAGCTTGCTCAGCATGGTATACGAGCGAGCAAAACGCACGCAAACACATTGTCTCAGGAGACCAGCGACACTGAAGAGTGATACAATCCGTTGTTGCTTCATCGCTATTATTAGGTTGGAGGCCATCGCTACTGGGGTGGAGGCCCTTGTTACTAGGGTGGAGGCCATTGCTAGTAGGTTGGAGGGCCATGTTTAGAATGTTGCGAGCCTCACAGGTGGTCTTTCCACGAACCCTCACAGGTGCGCAGCAGGAGCCATTTTTGGGTATTGCAGAGCTGTTTGGTACTACACAGCCGGTGAACCGGGCGCTTTCACGTCTGACCTCGTCGCACCAGGAGGAGATCTCCAAGATTTTTGCTTGAGGCGGATCTCGGGGGGAATCTTGGAGTGGAGAGCAGGATACGGGGATGGTTCCGCGGGGGTGTAGAGCTCCACTCGTCATCGGACATGATCTCAGACCGCCACCAAAGGTGGTGACTCATAGCGATTCAATCCCTGTTGGTATTTCCCTCTAGAATTACAAACATATTTCATTGGAGAGAGCCTGTTTTCAAAATTTTAAAAAGTCAAACAAATCAAAAAAAAGTCAGTCCCAAAAGTCAAAGTACAAAAATGTCAAATCAGAAAGTTTCAGAAAACAAAAAAAATGCCCAGATCCGACTTATTTTTTGACTAGTTTTTTTCGATTTTCTTTTACATTTTCGACTTTTTTTTTGACTTTTTCGAGTGGTTGACTTTTTCTTCTTTTTAGTTTGACTTTTTCGAGTTGTTTTGTAATTTAGATTTTTTTAGTGTTTTTTTTTTTTTACTTTTTCGAGCAGTGGTCTATTTTTGACGTTTTTTTTTTTTGTTTTTCATTTCAATTTGACATTTTTTTGACTTTGACTTTTCCATTTGACATTTTTTTTTGACTTTTTTAAATCAAGGATTCTGGCCTTACCAAATGATAGATTTTTTTATAACTCTAGAAAAGATCTATAGACTATACAGTAGATGATTCTCTAGAAAATGGGTTGCACGACCCCTCTGTGCTAGTATCAAGGGGATGCGATTCATGGATCCGCTTTGGTACTGCTATTCGCATCCTTGCTTCTTCCTTTTTTTTACCTCTGAAAACAACTGTCGCAGACTGTGTGTGCAGGGCAAAGGCTTTGAACCGAGCTGAGCCGAAGAGAACTCGCTTGAAAACTGACATGGAACCGGATTAGGATGTTCTCAACAAGTGTGCGCTCCTGTTGATTAGCCTGCAGTTTGCAGACAAGTGATTTGCATACGTCAATTGTTTAAAGCAATGCAGCTTAATTTAGTTTTGTTGCCATGCCCTGGGTGAGTCCTCGACTTGTTTTTGAGCAACGTTCGGAGATGTTCAAGTGCAAACGTCCTGCTGTATGATGATCTCAATGAAACAATGAAACGTCGGACTCCTCAGTTCTCCGGTTGAGAAATTGATTTACTTATATACTTATATTACGATATATACTTACTGTGTGGATCACCAGAGAGTCCTTTGAAGACTGATTCTTGGGCAGCAGCTCGTAGCCACGGTGAAAAGGCGAGGAAAGTTTTCCGCCCCCCGATAGAAGACATGCAGAGTCCAGAGGTTCCATGTTGGTTTTCTGCAGTCCCGCGCTTCCCCATGCGCAAAAGACCAAGCATTGGCACTGGATGGAAAACCACATCCACTCGCCCTCCGCGAACCGTGTAGAAAAGAGGCTGCAGAGGCTGTAGAAAGGGTTTGAGAAAAGGGCTGGCCTATCTGGATTCTTTTTTTGGAGATATGATATTCTCAATGGCCCCACACTCCTCAGCCACCAGCCATCCCTGAAAGGGCCAGACTATGGAAGAAATCACCTGTTTTGATCTTTTTTGAGGGCCTATCAATCTTCCAAACGAGGCAAATTGGGGCACTGATGCAGGACACCTCTACATGGTTTGAAACTGCAAAGAACCCAGAGAGCACAGACCGGATGAGGTTTCTCAAGCCGTGTTCACCAGTTGGCCAAGCACCGTCTCGCTTTTGGCCGTCAGTCGTTGGCCCGATAGCCTCAAACGGAGCCCTTCACCGCGACGCACACACGTCGCCATGCCGTTTCCTCCGGTGGGAGATGGATCCGGAGGGGACCCGGAGGGACTCGGTGGAGCTTTTGGAATGATCAGAATCCCTAATAGCTTCTTGTTACTACTAGTAAGGCACCTGCTACTAGTAGCGATGCACTTGTTCCTAATAGCTTCTTGTTTCTATGGAAATATCAATGCAATCTGGGAGCTTTCGCACTTGCGTTTTTTGGAACACCAGTCACAAGTCCCGGTGGAAGAAAAGAGGGTGAAGCTTCATGCTTCTCAAGAGAGGATTTGTTTTGCTTTGAGATGCCAACCTCAGAGTTTCAACAAAGTGAGATCAATTGGATGTGCTTTTTAAGCCAAGACTGAGAGTCAAGTGAAGTTAGTACGCTCCTTCCCTCTAGAATAGAAGGGGCTTCACTCCTATCCAAACAGTATATCACTGTTGTTTGAGGGTAATTAGCTCTTATGTGAGCGATTCTAATTTTAATGCCAGGAATTTCAGACCTTTTGAAAGAAAATCGAGCGGAGCTTGGATGCAGGGAAAGTGGCCTGCGTAGTCATGTACAATCTGAGAAACGATTCAAGGTTGATAGAGGTCCCAGCACAGGTTGGATGCTTTAATTACATAAGAAACAACTGTACGCACATGCCTTGGCAAACAGGAATTTAGACGGCTAAATCTTCAAGCCGATCTTTACAGTGGCATTCTCTTTTCGTTTCGCCACGCCGATCTTGCCGCGCCAACGGATCTTGGTCCCAGGCGCGGGTGGCGCGGGTCTCGCGGACTCCACCACTCTTCCTCGAGGCGGTCCGCAGAGACCTCCACTGGCTGGTTGCCACACAAACCCACGTCCCATGTTGCCAGCAACTGGTTTCATACATGATGAAACATGGTTGTCTCATTCCGGTTTTAGGTGTCTTCAACCCCCCAAATAGGTGTTTTCTTTTCCAACCCCAAGAAAGTCCAAGGCCCCATGTCCAGGGCCGGTATGTGCCGGTGATGATGTCTTCTCAGAGGCCGAGACTCCGCGCAAGCTGCCGCGGCCCACACGGCGCCGCGTGGTGGAGGACGAGGATCGCGTTGGAGGTGGGTTTCACAGAAGGAGGTTGGGAGAGGAGGGGATCCAGCAGGTAAGAGTCTGGGTGGGCTTTACATGGTGGTACCGTGGTACCAGCTGAGGGTATTACCTTCATTCCCCACCTTCATTCCGAGAACGACCAACACGCTTGACAAACACGCTCTACCAAAGCTCCGGCTTAGACATTCACCAGTGGTTCTTGATCTATAGGATAGTAACCGATTCCTCATCGACTCATCGCGCAACAAAATATGTTGCAAATTCTAGGTACAAGGGTATTTTGACGAACTTGACACGAAAGAACCATTTTCATCTCAGCACCCATCCACCACTTTGACCAGACTGGCACAGCCTGGAGCACACGGGATAACGTTTCAAATGACTGCGAAGCAATCAGGGGGTCTCATAATTTTAATGGGTGTGTGCACCACTGGATGCAGGCAATCCACAATCTTCAGAGTGTGAAGCTCAGCTTTTCCATGCTTTTCCTAGTTTTGAAAAGAACTGGAAGAGAATGGTGTGCTTTCCATTCCAGCTGGATTTTCAAGCTTCAGGGATAGCCAAGGCCAGCTCTATGCGATGCTGAGGCCACCTCATGTCCAGGCACGTTGGATTTGTTTCGTAAGACAAGGTGTCTATTTGATCCACGACCTCCATTCACCTCAAACAGTTTTACCCTCCGACTCACTGACATGGAAGTGAAAAACCTCATTTTTTTTTCCAAAGGAAAGTAGGCCCTTTGCACTTCCATGTCAGTGAGTCAGTGGACTCTCTGTAGTGACAGTCAGACTGTTCGTGCTGACAGCCGGACCGAGCCAAGACTCTGAGCCAAGACTGAGCTTTGGAGACACAGAAACGCACGCATAAGGGAAACGAGTATACAGGTGGCATACGGCGTATACACCAAGAGGAGGATTGGAGTTCCACTTGCTTCGGAAGGATGATGTTTTATTACGTTTGAACAACACTCATGACTCATATCATCAAAAAGAGGTGCCTGCAGTCTGCTAATCGTGCATTCATGTGTTCCACACAGCAAGGCAAGTCCACGTTGGGGCAAATCCAAAAAAATACTATATAACATATACTTATATACTGTATATAATCACTATATGCCTACGAAGCGGCTCCTGAATCTCCATTGACGTTGACGAAAGTCGCCCCTTTCACATTCGAGTTCGGCTGGATAGGCCTTTCACGAACCTACCAGGAATCATGCGACTCGGGTGGTCAAAGCGACTCGAATTTGGATGAGTCATAGCTTATGAGAATAATCCCCTGACCTCCCAACCAATGGCTTTGGGATGGTTTGGGATGGTTTGGGATGTACACACACACATTTGAACTTGGGCATTCTTCCAGGGCCCGACTGGGATGTTGAGGCTCGCTGTTTGGGCCCCTTCTGCCTACAGTGAGCCTGCTCGAGAGCTT